GTTTCAAGTACTACTTAGAAGACTGTAAAAGACTGTAGGAGATTCGATACCGAGTAGCAAGGAAGGGACATTTATCGAGTTGGTAACGACGTCGCGTGAACATCGTTTAACCTTCGACCCGTTCGGAGTTGTTCAGTGAAAAAGTGGTTTCATAAACGCGACGACGGGGCACAACTTGAGGAAATGTTTCCTTGCCGAGTGCCAAGTCGCGTTACGACCTTCGTCGCGAGCCAAATGAAGTTCAGTTCCGATGCCGCTGCAGCGCGTCGAAAACAACCCTCTAGCTTTTACTGCCACCTCTCCGCCCCCATCCTCTTATTACCGTAACCTTTTTCTACTTTCTTAACGGCATGTGGTGTAGTACAAGAACGAGGGTTGCATCTACATTCGCGCTTCTTTACTTTTCCAGAAGGTACAAAGGTACATATGTACACACCTAAATGACTGTCAACGATCTTCGAACGAGTTGTTAAGAGCAAAAGTACCCTTCCAACAGATTCGGAATGAATCCCGCAAACTGAAACTTTATACCCTTCAATCCAACGAATACCGTTTCGTTATCCGTTCAAGAAATTCTCTCAACCCCGCGGCCGTGAAGTAGTCGAGAGTTCAAGCTTTGCAACACTCCCGGGGGCAACCCTTTTCAAAGCGCCCGGCTGTTTCACGTCCCTCTACTTCTGGATCAAAATTGCAGTATCAATAGACCTCGGGGGTGGTCGTCGAGGCACGCGAAAACGCTACTGGTGCCGGCATCTGTTCGAGCTTCGACGAACCCCATGGCGGCTTGAAAGTTTCACGAGTCGACCTCCAGATGGCGAGAGCTTTCGTGTTTTCTACCCCTGTGGAGCCACCCGGCTGCGCAAGGTTGGGATCGTCCCTGTTGTTTCCATCGAAACCTGGACATTGACATTACGGGGAACGTCATTGACCCCGAATCCTCGAAATCCAGCCATTTCGAGGCCGGTCGCGATCACGATGGGTGGCCAGCTTGAACGGTCACATACCCCTCGCTCCCCGCCAACACCGTAAATACCGAGAACCAGAGGCGTCGCTAGCTCGCGGCGCCCATAAAAGAAAATCGGCCGTACGGGGGCTTGAGTTACGACGCCATCGACGTCCGAGCGTCGTATATACGTCAGCCATAAATATTTATCCGACGCCGCCGGTCAGAAACGGCTAGGGGAGTGACGCGGGGGTCCGATAAAAATGATTACGCCGCGGTAAAAACCGCCACCCACCCGCGACTCCGTACAGGAGATGGGGGTGGGCTCGTAAATCGAACGTTGATTTGTTTTATGTAGAAACGCCGTGCGTCGGCTGGCGACTACGTCGATTCGAGTCGTGAAGTATTCCGGCAGAGCACAAGTTGCGCGCGCGACGGCCTTTTAAGAGGAATTCGACAATGGGAACGCTAGCTGGTTGCTCGAGTCGATAGGAAGACTGGAAGTTTTAATTTTACGAGGCCTGCGATCGTAACTTCTCGTCGTATCGTCGATGGCGAGTTATTGTTTTCGCCTCCACACCCCCGAGCATCACACTTTGGGTCTGCCACCGGTTATTGCTACGAATTCAGCCCGAAAGCGGAGTTGCAACCGACTACTCTCGCGGCGGAAATTTAGGTCCGTGCGAGGGGGAGTATGATTTAGGGTTCTTTGGCAGGTTTCGAAGGGATGCATATTCGAAAGTGGTTGTGCAACGAAAGTATTTGTTTATCGGCTAAGTTTTGCGGATATTTCTGTTTATAGAGGTGGGGTTGGCAGTTTCGACAGATGGAGCAACGTAGTTGCAAGAACACGGGGTAAAGATATTCTATTTATTGTGATTCACGACATATTTCTGTGTGAAGAAAATGATAGATACGTACGATTTAGATCGTACTGTAAAAAATCGAAATAATCGTGCCTTAAACGGTTGGATTAGTGTACCGTTGGAAAACACCGAAGACCACGGGGAACGAAGTTTAAAAAGTAAAACACGGTGCCATGTACGATATCGGGATATTTACTCGATATCGTCGCGCGGCAAAGTGTGCCACGCGATATCGTTTTACAGGTACACAGCCAGCCACGTTGCTCCTTTTATTAGGATATAGATTCGCGTCAATTGATTTATAGCGGATGGTTTGATCCTCGGTAGCGATGCGCAACCGGCATCCAACGTCGGAGCAAGATGAAAATATCCCCGGGCATGCGTCGCCATACGTCAATTTCTCGCTGACTGTATCGATCCACCCTTTTAATTTTCATGGAAATTTCACGGTTCGAATTTGGTCCGTGAGCTTTCACCTTTATCTCCGCGGTCGAGTGGATGACTTTTCACGACGATTTTTTGTTTCTTTCCGATGCTGGTATTAGAATATAGAAATGGCGTGAATCCCTTGGAGAACAAGGGTGATTTATACCCTATTTTTTATGAATTTATTGTGAGATGGCAATCTGTTAACTATGCGACAATATTACAGCTGGGATCAAAGATTATAACCATATTTAAGGTACTTTTCTCCTAAGAAGAAGTCTGATTGACACTCTCGAATCGTCTTCCGACAATTGCACTTTAAGAAGGAATCGAGAGAAATTGATTTTTTAAAAGTCTACTCTTTGGATGAAAGGTCAGACCGAGCCGAACATTCGATCAACATGTCCGTGACGTTCAATTTCCGGCCTGCCAATCACCAAAATCTCTATTCCCATCCTTCTGCATTAATCTGCAAATTAATTCGAACGAAACGAAGCAGTCTTGGCAGCCTCGTCGACACAATTCCTCCTCCTCCACCTCCGTATGACATCGTCACGGGGGAATCAATTTCTGTGACCTAAAAAGCGAGAGTTAATTAAAATGTTCGAACCCGCGGGTTTTCGAGATAACGCACGGCCGCTACTGGACCAAGCATCCTTTACTGACGTTTTGGGGAAACGATGAGAACCCCGTCGTTAACCATAGAGATAAACCACGTAACGGTGAATAGGGGTGGGATCACACAAGGTCCTTTTTAACGCGTCCGTTTGCAGGGAAACGGAACAGAAAATAGATCGATACGATCTTATGGAAGCGACCATGCGGCACATTTATTACTACCGGAGTATGTTCCGTATGATCGCGTCGACCTATTTCTCGTTACGCTTCCACACCACCCATGGGAATGGATGCCTCGAAAACCACCGAAAAAATTGTCTTCTCGCCGGCGAATGGTGACTAAACCGAATTACACGCGCGTTAGTCGAAAGCACGATTCACCATAGAATTGATTTTTTTTTCCCCAAAGACACAACCCCTTAAATTTAATAGAATCTCGCCGGTCCGATTCAGTGCGATTTTTTTTTGGAACGCAATAACTCACCCTTCCCCGCACCTTTCCTGTGAAATATTAGAACGTTATAGCACGTGCTTCGGTGGTCTTTGAATGCTTTCCGTGCGAGAAAAAAAAGCACCCTTTGAAATTTTATATTTATTCGCGACGTGTCTTGACACAAGGAACACGATACCATTGCAGTGAAACGAATAACAATGGATGTAGCTGTTTAAATAATTAAAAACAAGCATCACAGCGGAAAAAGAACCATGCACGAATAATCATCATTTCTATCCACCCTGGTGTATTTAATTGGAGTAACGGTAGGTTCGTTATTAAATGTGAGAAATTTCCCGCAATAAAAAGAGGCCGCAACGTCGGACGGAACTCATAAACAACGCCCCCCGGTTTCACCCCTACACGGCAAATGATTCAATTCGACCCCACGGAGGGTGTGATATTTCTCTGACAGTCCATAAACGTGTTAACAGGTCGTCACCGACAGTGATCATCCCTCTGGCCGTCGTTCCGACGTTTATTTCTTTCCTGTTTACTTGTAATATTTTTTCGCGCCCCCTAACGGACGTCTAACCCAGCCGTCTCGAGGATGATATACAGCGTGGCATTACCATAACAAATTCGGCTCTCGCCGCGAAATACTAAGCGAAGGATTACTGATATCTGCTGCGGGGGTTGCGACTAATAAAGCGCAATTTTTTCTCTCCCTCTCTCTCTCTTTCTGGTGTTCGCTCGCACGGCCCGTAGATGGACGAGATAAAGCCGGATGGTAGCTTTCGAGATTGGACACGCGCGCATACCACCGCCATTATATTTCACTCCCACAGAAAAAAGACGAACGTACCTGAGAGGAGGATGGAGGGGGGGATGAACTCCGCCGAGACGTACCTTCCGCCGGAAATTACTTAAGCAACAGACTCCTCCGGTCCATTTTAAAGAAACATTTGTAACTGGAAAGCACCTTCTTGGTGAAAGTTGTAATTGTTTCGAAGATCAAAGGGATGCGAAGTGATACTATAGCCCTTTATTTTGTTTTATTTTTTTCTTCGAATTCGAAGCTTACCTGACATGGAGTCGAAAGGGTTGATGGCACCATAGGAATGACGAATAGGTACAGCGTTCGACCGAGCCCTTGATCAACACGGTATTCAAATGTCTGTGCGAAGTTCGCTGCTCGACAGGAACTGGAATCGCGTAAAACAGACTCCCCAATAAATCTCGTGGGCTGCACAGGGGGTGGCGGCCCGGCGGCTCGCTCGAGTCTAATTTGTGGATCGTTCAGTAAAAGGAAACTACGTCGTCTACAGGATGGGAGAGAAGAATTTATAGATACCCTAATACCGAGAACTCACAGTGAATAGTTGGGTAACAGAGGGGGCAGGGGGCGAGAACGAGGAGGAGGAGGCGTGAGTGATAAATTTTGGAACTGACTTCACGCGCGCGTCGACCCCCATAGGCAAACTCCGCCGATAATTTTTCGGCCAACGTAAATCAAAAACCGTCGCGGAAAAGCACCGACAGTGAGGACACGACCGTATAAAAATCGTAATTCACACCGAACGTTACTGTTCTTAATGTATACACGAATGCAATGGGGCAAATGACTGCTATGTAATTTCGATCCGAGAAGACAGGAAGGATAATTCCCATAATATTTCATTCTTATTAATATCCCACGTATGTCTGATTTCAGGCCAAAAAACACTGCGAAAATATCCGGTGATGGTGTTTATTCACGGGGAGAGCTTCGAATGGAACAGTGGCAACCCATACGACGGTACTATATTGGCAGCTTACGGGAACGTCGTCTTCATCACCGTCAACTTCCGTTTAGGTATCCTTGGTAAGTAGATTATGCGTTTTATGGTCAGACGCATTTCTAGTAGTGCAGCTCAATAATTCCGTCCGACTAGTATGAGGCAACCGTTTGCAATACCGTGTCATTCCAAAAAAAATTGACCAGATAAAAGAAAGTGATAACACGTGTTGTAGTAGTACGAAACACGATCGTTTCGGATCTGAAATTTCGTCGAGCAATGTGGAACAAGGTTCCCTCGGATCCTATCGCGAATTTATGAAATCTTACGTGAACCCCGTCGGTGGCAGCCTAGCATGAAATCAGGAATTCTGCTTCATTAACGTTCACGCTCCGTTGCGCCATCGGTTTTTGATCTTTGACGAGGTTCGTTTTTATTTCTCTCTTACGACTGTCTATCGATCCGTCATCTTGCCGCGCGAGAAGCATCCAGTCGTTACCCGGGTAGCTTTTACAGTCCGCTCGTATGAATAACTTGGTTCGAGTCCCTTCGCCGTTGCAACGAAATTCCGGAAAGTTGCTTGGAATTTCGATCGTTCCGCGTTATTCTCCGACTGGATCTCCGTTTGCATAAATTTCCATTGGTATGGAAATTGAAGTGATTCTAGCAGTATGTTTGGAATTACGAAAATAGAAGGAGCAATTTCAAGGTGGAGGAGTTTTTACGTTCGGAGGATACGACATTCGAAGCTATTGAAATTCAAATTATTTGTTTCCAAGAATATCTTATTTCGTATAATATGGAATCTCGTGCCGTCGAGCACAAAACGTTTCACGGAATTTTCCGCTCGCGGTTTTATTATATTGACGGAACATTCATCGGGCCCGCAGAAAAGCATCCTATTCATTACTCGGCAGCGCACAAAGTCACGACAATTCCGTGGGTGACCGTAAAATCTCGCGCGCGGCCCTCGTGTGTCCGCGTATCGCGCGAAAGAAAACTTTACTCCGAGAAAAGAGGGGCTCGCTGGCCGAGACAAAGGAGTTCTTTTTGCCCCCGAAACTTCCCATCGATCTCCGCCGTTTTTCCGTGGCCTGCTCTATTTTTTTCCTCTCTCCCTCCGCCCCCTCCGCCTGTCTCCGTGCTCCCCGCGAGACCCCCGTAACGACGAGCTTCCGCCTATCCTTTCCCCTAAAATGATAACGCGACCGCGCGCGTGCAATGCAAATGGACGGACGTCGCGGCGCGAGCTGCAGCGCGCTACATCCGACAAGTGGGGTGTTTTAAGAGGGGAGGGTACGGTAGAGGGGAAAAAAAACGAAGAGGCCGCGGAACCATAATCATAAATTAGGTTAAAGTGCTGGGAAGGCGCTTAGTTAACTTCACCCCGGTCCCCGCTACCACCACCACTACCACCCGTAACCGAGTGCAGTTAGTTCGCGAGGAGTCCACGGATAACTTCGGCCCTTCGCAAAACAACGGAGGAAAAATATGGCTGCCAGCGAGGGGCTCGTGCGACTAAAAAGAACGATCGCGTTGCACGAGGTTGGTTTACAGTCCGAGCTGATTTCTTGGTGCACGGAATAGGCAACTGTTTTCCCACCGGCGAATTCCCAAGAATTTTTTCTCGATATTACACCAGGGGTAGATAACGGTCAATTATAAAATGATGAAAGTTTTTCAGAGATAACGGGAGTTGTTTAATGAATTAAGTTGCATTTATATAATCTCATTTACATATAAATATGTGTGCAACTGTGATTACAGGTTTTCTGAGGCCAGGTACGAGAGACGACACAGCAAGTAATTTCGGACTGCTCGATCAAATAGCCGCGTTGTTCTGGCTCCGAGAGAACGTCGCCGAGTTCGGTGGCGATCCGAACAGCGTTACCTTGGTCGGCCACGGTACCGGCGCCATTTTTGCTAATCTGCTGCTTATCAGCCCTGTGGCTAACAAGAAAGGTAACGGTTATTGCGCTGTCGCGTGTTTGCGACTTCTGCGATGCTTGGAATATTAAGAGGACGCTTTTAGGTGGAACATGTAACCTCCATTTTCGCGGCGGTGATAAGAGTCTCCGCCAACTTGGACTTTGATTTTAAAAATGCGGGGCTAGGCGCGATTGGGGGTTCCGGTGAATAAAGACCTTTTTCCGTATCGTATAATATTCAACTATACTCATTTAGGTCAGTCCCAGAAACTTATTCGATAGTCTCAAAGTCATCTGTCACTCCAGCATTGCGATAAGTAGTATAGGTCGTTCAAGGTCAGACACGCTTTTAACTTCTATTAGCATAATTATAGGACCATAGTTTTCCATCGAACATCAATCAACGCCAATTCAAATTCCAAACAATATTATTTAATTGTGTCGTCATTGTCCACGTCTCGAGCAAATAGTGTAACTCAATCGTAAATTTCCGTCGAGCCCCCAAACGTCGACAATCGCGTTCGAAGAAATAAGAACGGCAACCGTATTGAGCGTCAGAGAATGTCGTATCCTCTACGAGGACTCGCGTGCTCCCCGGGGAGCTCGCGAAAGAAAGGTATAACCATCCGGAAAAGGAGGACGAAGAAAAGAGGAACGACGATCATTTTTCACACCCACGGGCGGAGGCCAATGGGAAGTTTTCTCGTCGGACCTGGGGGCCACAATGCCTGTCTGTGTCCGGTCAATAATTATATTGTGCAATGAAAAATAACCGGACTTAATATTTTACGAGTGAAGGGCGCCAGTTGTCCGATCCTGGGGGACGCGTGGTTATTAATCGTTATTCCGCTCGTGTGTGTGCGTAGGTCTGTTTAATCGTGCCATACTGATGTCCGGATCGGCGTTGAGTGCGGATGCTATTGGTAAGGCGCCCCTGCAGATCACGAAACAGGTAGGAGACCAATTTTCAAATATAATAAAGCAAGGAAAAAAGTTCGAAGTTTCTAGGAAGATTGTTAGAAAAATCAGCTTGAAACAAATGTTAATATTCTCCGAGGTCGACATACCCTCGACAGAACTTGTGCTTGCGGTTGTAACGTAAACAAAAGACCAGAAAAACGATACGACAGGTTGCCGCGATTCGAACGTACCTGGAGAAGAAATATCGTTTCTCGTCGCGCCCGCGTGGAGAGAACTACGATCGGAGGAACGTTCATTGGAACCGGTGAGAAACGGGCCGAATCATTTTTCAGGTGGCGCACGCTTTGAACTGTCCTACGACGACCGACAGCGATCTGGCGTTTTGTTTACGGGGCCAGGACGTGAACACGCTGCTGGAAGTGAAGATTCACAAGCCGAAATACGTGCCGGCTTTCGCGCCGCTGATCGATAACGCCGTAATACCGGACAAGCCTTTGAATCTAATGAAAAACCCACAACTGTTAGGCAGGTGAGAACGCTGTAACGTATACAACATCTCGCAACAACGATTTCTGAAGAAAATATTATTTTAACCTGTATTTCGACCGGAAATACTTTCATTAGAAACTTTAATTCGAGGTTCAGGATTATTTGCGAATACCAATTCGATGCTCGGGTTTGTACCATCCGTGGTAAAAGCTCGTGAAGACAATATATAGAACGTGCCTGCATTCCGATATTGAGCCCTGATCCCCGGCAGTGACTCTGGGCGGGAAGCTTGTGATATTGAGTTTTCGTTTCTGTAGGTTTGATTTGATGTACGGTGTCACTGAGTCGGAGAAATTTCATATTCTACCACCGGTTGCTTTGTTGCATGGAATGATGGATGGACAAAGGGACGAGGTACTGAAGGATCACGCCAAGGTATGGGTTCGGTGACTCGAACGGATAGCGCGCCAGTTTTCGTTTAAGTGTGAAGAAGATTAAAACGTTCCTGGGGAGTGTGGGAAGGGATGGAGGGAGTATGAAAGTTTCGGTGGATGAAATACCGTTTGAATATATTTCAGTTGAATGCTAGAGAATCGAGGGAAGGACTCGGTATGCATTCCGGGTAGCAAAGTGACGCGATATTTCTTGGTCGGCAGGCGACGCACGAACTGGAACCAGAACTCATCCTATCAAAGATTCTGGAACAATACGGCGATTTCTCGGCCGGTTTCACGAACGACTACGCGACGAAGAATCGGGATCTGGTGCTCGAGGCGCTCTCCGACAGCGGGACCGTGGCGCCATTAATAATGACCGCGAATTTGCATTCAAGGGCGAACCCGAAGAGCTACATGTACGTTTTCTCGCATCCGAAGGCGATGCAGGACTACTCTGGCGTAAGTACGTTTCTGTTCACACGTAGCCCCATACGTTACGCCCCCACCATTCCCCCGCCAGGAGTTTGAAATTTATCGAACGACCGAGACAGTCAACGTTATCTTGTAAGAATGATTACCTCTTGGCCAAGAAATTCCATCTCCCCTGTTGGAGTGAAAAAGACAAATCCATCTGTAAAAAAAGAAAACAGTGTTTCTGATGTCTTCGTTTAGGGGTGCACGTGACAGTCTCGGTAAAAGTCATTTTTATAGATATACACACCCTTTTCGTTCACGAGTCTACGCGAATAAAAGAATATACAGCAACGAAGGAGCTGTTAGGCCAAGTCCAGTCGCCCGTCAGCTTAGAACGTAGAAGCCGGAACAGCTTTCCCTCCACAAGCCCGACCCGAGACGACCAAAGAAATTTCACATTGCTGCTGTCTCGTGCACGCGGGGCGGTCTCTTCGGCGAGCTGACAAATTCATCCGGGTCAAGGATCCCGGAAGCCGTGAAAAATATTAAGGGAGCGCATAAATCGCGTCGGATCTTTCCCCCGTCTTCTCGGAGGGAGAGGACAGGGATGAAACTGGAGCACGTACGATTAGACGGGTGTACTTTGCATTTTATTCATTTTCCCCCGCGCCAGGATTCCTTAACCAGGGGCGGAGGGACGGTGAACAGGGGAGCGTGACCTACTGGCTATTCATTGTATTCGTGGCCGCGCCAACGGAACGACGAGAGAGGGGGAACGAAAAATCCCGGCTACGAACCCATTTGGAGCCGGGCCAACTATTTTTATCGTCGCTGCGTGCCGGCCTGTTACGCTCGCTCGCGGAGAGTACAGTGACCGGCGGTGTCGTTAAACCGAATGTAACAACGTTTCTGGTTTTCAACTCGGGGTTAGAGGGCTGTCGGTGCTGTTGGATATGAAATTTACGAGAGACACCGGGCCACCGTAGACGGTGATCGTACAGAGAGAGACCGCGACGCAGGGGTACCATTTAACCTGGTATCCGCCGACCATTCTTGCGGATGGCGTCTGGGAAACGATCGAGGAAACCAACGGCAAATTGGGAAACTGGTCCCGATGATTAGTTGTGGATTCTTCGTGGCCCTCTCTTTTGCCACCGTTTTCATATCATCAGCACAATGTTCGGTGATATTAACCCATTGAGGACCGTAAGCGTACGCCCCGCAATGATTTATTCCTTATTTTTGGCACAACCATTTCAAATTTTCAGGTTTCTTCTCAGTTGTATAGGAAAAATAATTGTTAGGTTAAAATTTAGAAATAATCTACTTGTAACTATTTTATTGAACCATGGTGATACTTAAGGGAGGAAATTAAATCCCCCGATCGTCACTGGGTTAACATGCACTGACCTAGAAACTTACGATTTGTCATCTGTAAAACGTTAATTAAATGATATTGGTATCCGGTGTACACCAGCAAGATCGAGACCTCGATAGAAATATCTTGTTTCAATTATAGAAGCAACTATTCCGCTCAGTGACATAGGGCACTAGTGGATACGTATCCGTTGAACGTATCGATTGTCCAGAGTTAGGAGCGTTTCTGATAAGTTACGATTGCGCTGGAGGATCGGGCCAGAGAGCATCACGGGAGTTAATAACAATGGCCCCGGGGGTTTTCGAGGACGGTAGGAGCATACTTGGCCCTTCTTCTGGACCGCGAAATTTCGGCGAGCTAGCCGCGCGAAACTTTGTTTCGATGGGAAAGTATATCGAGTGGCCTCGTTATCTTTGCAGCAACAACGCCAGCGCACCGTGCACGGCGAAGAGCTGCCCTATGTGCTTGGTGTGCCTCTCGACGGGAATAAATACGACCTTCGTCGCCGATACAACATCGGGGAAACTCTCTTTTCGGAGGCCATGATGAACTGGTGGTGCAGCTTCGCGTATGTTGGGTGAGTTTCCCTCGTGTGGCGCTCCTGTTCGCGGTTATTAATTCCCTTATAACATCGTATCCTCCGTGGAAAATTGCAATAACCTCGCAATTACACTATTTTACGATACACGTTTGCCGAACTACAAATTTCCGTACCGAAAACAAAGCTACTCCTTCGAATGTTCTTGGAATTATTGAACGTATGAAAATAAACGGCACAAGCGTTCACTGGCTTTCGTTCGATACTGCATAATTGCGATTAATAATTTATCGAACCAGACGTACGCGCGATAAATAACGAAACTAATTGAAGGGGGGTCGAGTCGCCTCATTTAACTCACGTTTTAATTATTACGGCCCGTTTGATCTGTATGGAATGCTGTTATTAAATTGGATAACCTCGAGTGATAAATATTGTACATCTTTAATTCGCAAATTTTCTATCGCGCATTGTCACTGTGCTTCGCAACGAAAATATAATTTGATAAGGTTACAGCGGCGGAAACACTACCGCCGTATTACCTCGAACCACTAATGCCGCTGGCCAAGTGTAACGGCGTTTGGAAGCCCGAGCTTTCGAAAGCTCTCAAATCTTCAGCGACGTTGTATGGCCGACGGTTACTCATGTCTGGCCGTTGTTTATGCCACGACCCCGTGAAATTAGCGAAATCCGATCAGGTCCCGGGGAACGGAGGTTGTTGCGCTTATTAAACAATAAATCTAAGCCGTCGTTCGACGTTGGAAAAAAAAACATTTTCGTTGTAGTTCTGTACCGTTTACGATTTTACAATAAATCTCGTGAAATTTTATAGAATTTCTGGAACAATAGGTCGAACACACGACACGAACCGGTGCCCCGCGGAGAAACAATTTCGCGCTGTACAGAGAGAGAGAGAGAGAGAGAGAGAGAGAGAGAGAGAGAGAGAGAGAGAGAGAGCCCCGCCGGGAAATTTTCGCCGGCCTGAAAATTCATTATCAACCGGGGGAAGAGGGGGTGGTGCGGAAAATAGACCGAAGCGCTTTCAAACATGATTTTCAATTAATCCTGCGGCTTTGAATATTTATGATTTTTTCTCTCCGACCCGCGTAGTTGGCCCCCGTCACTTGTAACGTCCGGTAATTACGTTTCTCGAGAGAAAATGCATGGGAACGAGACTGGAAAATTAACCATGAGTTCAGTGAGAAGTTGTCGATGCATGTCGGGGAGAGCTTGTTTTTCGCGGATTTCCATCAAAGAATCGTTTGTGAAATTTCGGATGAGGTATTAAACAGTTTCACGGGGAATAACAAACTTTCGATAGAAGTATGACGCGATCGGGAGAAAGAAAAAGATTAGTGTAAAAATCGTGTTCGATGGCGGTATTTTGCACCCTCGTTTTCTTCGTGAACAGACATCGACGGTAGTAACTTTTCGATCGGTGAAGCTTTTGATATCGGCTGAAGCACGAGCGGTCCTGTTTCGCTATCGAGTCGGCTGCCAGCAATTTGACGCTTGTTATTCCAGCACAGGGCGGTATCGGCTGAATTAACGGGCCCGATACATCGGCCATTTTAATTTTCTCGATACAAGTAGATTACCTATACACACGAATTTTCCGCGCGTTTCATCCCGACTAAGGGAGAAAACGGGTGGCAAACCGCCGGGACCAATCGATTTGCCCGGTTTTATCTTCGAACGAGCAAAATTTTCCCTCGTATTTCAACGGAAATGGACCACGCGCTTTAGGAGATAATTTGCGAGAGTATACTCCCTCGATAATTAAACGTACGGGCTGATCGACTCTGGTTACGATTCTTCTTTTGATAGTCCGTCGATCCTTAATTCGACTGTATCGATAGTTCCGTTCAAGATAAGTGTGTATACCTGACGAATGACAATTTCGTACGATCAAGCGGTGAAACGATTCACTGTTGATACCATAAAATACCGATGATTGAAATGTTAACCGAATACAAAGCTAAACAAAAACTTCCTGTAAAATTTAATTATCGGTATCGGTTCGGCGTTTAATCATTTAAATTAGTGAAATTGAAATATCACAGGCTTCGTGGTACGTTTAATTAAAGTGCGCATTTAGTAGAATGTAATCTGCACGTGGGTATTTCGCAACTGCATTCGAAAATTAGACATCTCAATTCGATATATCGAATTGAATTCATTCCGTTCTACTTTTTATTGATATTCCACTGAATTTCCATTGTTTCCCGTTTCGATACGTCTGTCCCAAGGTATCTTTCGAAGATCAATACGACTCCTCGTTATCATCCGCGGCGTTTTGATCACCGTATGCTACTACGTCGTACTGTTATTGGAGATTCTAACGTTCGGGAGTATTGTCAATAATATTGGTCTTCGGAGAACGACAGCTAGAGCACTGGCGAACTCGGTTATTGATTAAACATGAATTAGAGAGCTCGAAGGTACACAGTGTTCTCATAAATAACATTGACTTCTTGATAGCATCGTCTACGGAATACTCTGCTAATTCTCGTATTCTTCCATTCTTTGTTTCTTCCTTTTATTTTACAACAAACCTTCTATTCCGTAGTCGAACTTTCCAGTTTGATCCCCTTCATCCCGAATGATGACTAGGAATCCGAGCTAATTGACTCCTTGACTTCCAACTTTATCGTTCGATTCGGAACTTCCACGTAACAGTATCACGTTCACGCAGACACAGAATCTCCCGTGTCGCGCTCCACGTGTCTCGATACCCCGTGTACGTACAATATGGAATTCGATGCCGTTACAAATGAAACGAATAAATAAATATTTTTATTATCAAACGTTATGTACGTTCGCCACGGCCGCCCGTTCCAAGGAAATCGAATCCCCACGAACCGACAATATAATCGAGATTCTACCGTGTTCCTGGTAAACTCTCGCAAGGAACATTTCCATCGGTAACTCCACGTCGACGGAACAGGCGCAGTATCATTTCGCCGGCGCTCAAATATCGGGAAGCCGGCCCAATATCGAAATTTTGATAAAGGGTAACTCTACCCTTCTACGGTTACGCGGCGATACTCGCGCCTTCGACGCTCCTGTAGGAACTTTCCCTCTGAAACAAGTATCTCAAAGGGAAGGCTATTTCTCCGGGAATAACGTTCTACGATTCTTCCCTCGAAACGGCGTTCGAGCTTTCCACCGATCGTAAAGGTCCGTCGATCAGCAGGTCGGTTAGACCCGGTTGGAGAACGTTTCCACTTTTGTCGACCACGTCGATAACGATTCTCTTTCGTGGAATAGGGTGGAGGGGTTAAAACCGTCATCGATCGACAATTGTATGCGTCCTAGACGGAACTATACCAGCGAGGAGAAAGGTCTTTAAAAGTCCTCGTCGTCGTCGTTGTTGTTTAATGGTAGTCCGCTATTTCCGGATGCAGAGCGATGCGCCACGCCCTCTGCTTATGCATCCAGTGCATCGCGACGACCCCTTCCCGAGAGACGTATTCTTACGAGGAGAGGACACAGTGACACGCGCGATATCGATCAGACTGTGTCACGTAGAGAAACGGTGCGGTAGGTACACCATGTCTCTGTGTGTGTGTATGTGTCTCTCTCCCTCTGTACGTCTGCCTTCGGTCCGCGTGCATTAAACAGCTTTGTTTCGCTTAATTGGATCGACCCAGTTCTTCGGGATCCGATGACCTGTCGCGCGATGCATATGCATTCGATGCGACGGGAAATCGTGGGTTCATGGACCGCGGTGGCTGCCTAGACAGACAGGATGCAAAGGGTTGTACCGGTGATTTTTAATGCCCGGTGTCTCGTCGATATCGCGGTCCATGAATATAGATTACAGAGTAACACGATCTTGGGCTTTCTTTCAATGGCTTTGTTTCTTATTTTTCCGTTGATCATTGAATGGACCGATGTCGAATAGATTTGTTCGTACATGTATATTGTAAAAGAATGGAAATGCAATGGTGCTTAATTAGTTAGTACTCGTCCCGAGAAACAATCGATAGAGATGTATCGGAGAATTAATCTAGATGTCGACACGAATAACTTCGGTACAAGCTCTGTTACACTGCAATATATGGGGTAATAAGGGGTAACTTTTGTAATTTACGGTCTGGAATCAACAGTATATCGATTCCTGATCGTTACGGCCGGGGATCCTATTGCTCGTCAAATTTCAGCGATCATTTGTTCTTCACTGTCCAGGAATCCAAATATCGCGAAACGGTACCCGTACCTAACGGACGGATTGAAGGAATGGGGCCAGTACGAGATCGAGTGGCTGGAATACGATCTCCAGAATCAGACGTACTTGAATCTGAGTGAGTCTACGTGATGTCGTTTTCCCATCCTCTGCACGATCGAGAGCAGAACTTTATCTCTTAAATTTAAACTTCGCCGAAGATCTTATGGAATTAGTATTAAAATAATAAAAAGGGGGGCGTTTTTTTCTATTGACGCAGCGATTCCACCGACAATCGGTTCACGGTATCGTCCGGAGGAGATGCAGTTTTGGAACGAGTACCTGCCCAACATGCTCCGTCATCCGAACAAAGATATTCCGTGGCCGATCCGACCGAAGGGGCTTCGACCGCAGATTCTCGACATAGCGGACGGGATTGGAAGGTACGCGAACGCGAGCACCAACAGGAACTACGAAACCTACGGCATCAGGTCGGTAACGAGTTCGAACAGCCTCCGTTGCGGGCTCCTTTGACTCGAGCCACGGATTTAGATTTCGGGTCTGGGAATTTCTCGAGACCTTGAAACGGTTTGTTCAGACTTCGAGACTGGGCCAGAGTCTGTACGTCAATTTCTGGCTAAAGATGGTTCCAGGATCGCCAATTTAGAAAATTAAAGATGTCCAGCCCGGTGTGGTTATCGCTTTTACTTTTTGGAGAATTCTTTGTACGATTTTAACTTGCACTGCTGCTGCTGTGAAAATTATTACCGGCGGTGTATTGAATGTAATTTCTGTACTAGAAAAAGCTCCAGTGGATGCGTTAATTGAAAAAGTAAATAGACTCATTTCAGCGTACATTTATGCAGGCACGCCGGTATTGTTTCTCACCCGTGGATAGAATATTTAATGAAACGTCACTTGCACCCCATTGCATCCAACCCCTTTCTCCCTCGAATGCTTAACTGTCTGCACGCACCGGTTGAGTGGAATTTATTCAAACGTCTGCGCAATGAACTAACAGATTAGCAATTTAAAATTTCAATTACGCGTACTATCGTCGCAACATCTTCCATTCGGAGAATCGAATTACTGTTATAATATGTACAGTTACAACCGTTTATAAACAATAAAACAATTCCAAACTACGTGTTTATTGCAAATATTTCTATAAAACCGTCAAATCATGCGGCAACAGTTTTATTAAATCTGTCAATATTCAGTTCATCGAAAGTAAAATTTTTCACAGCACTTTGACTATATTGTCCCTCTATATCAAAATCCATTGGTATTCATTTGACCCTTACAACAGTCGAACGTTCAATATTCAATTGTTCAGAAGTAAAATCGTTAATTCTATCCGACTACAGTCTCACTGTATCCTCGTGCAACACTGTCCAACTCTGCAAATACTCAATCCTTCGATCTTTAAGGTATCCAATAAAGTTCCCACATCTAACACCGGCCACCGCGACAGAGGCGACGGACAACAAAGCTACAACTCCGGATTCCACGAGTCGACCGGACCAGGAAACCGTTCTTCAACCGACAACGCCAAAGAGCTCATCGGTGATCACGATGCTGACCGGTTTCGGTGTGGTGTTCCTTCTCATAAACTTCACCGCGTTCCTCTATCTGTACTGCAAGAAGCTGGACCTGAAGAGCAAAGAGGCCGGTTTAAAGAGACGCGCCAGCCAGAAGGACGACTCGAAACGCGCAAAGTCCGAGAAATACGAGAACCACTACGGAGAGCTCGGCTATAAAAGCGATAGCAAGCCGGATCTGAACGACGTGATAAAGAACGACAAGGCGTACGACAACAATTCAAACTTCGGCAGACGATCGAAACTCTCGAGACAGAACTCCGGCTCGACCATCGATACCCACATCAAGGTTAGGGAGTGGATACAGCAGGAGATCGTGCACAGGTCGGTAACGATACGGTTTCCTTGATCGAGCCAGTTCGATCGCTTTGAATCCCGTCCTCCCGTTCGCCCTTAGTAATTGAGCAAATTCGAGAAGTCCCGGCGAATTCGTCGATCGTAGACGAACTTGGCTGTCGAGTAGTCTGCTAATCCAATTAGCGGTTTCACATAAAGAGACGCCGCTTTGGGACTCGCGGGCTGATTCCTTCGGTTCCGAGCGTGTCTGGATCTGGCAAATGGAGAATTTAATAGATCGAAGTTTTTGGCTGATCTGTCATGAAAGTGATGGAAGCTTCTTCGTGTCGGGAACCCAAAGATTTCACTGCAGTTCGCAAGTTTTGGTTGGTTAGAGTAATTGTGACACCAGGGATTCAGAGGGAATCGACTCTCTCCTGGCCCATCCCACGCGTGCTCTAGCGATTGTCATATGGTGCAATTACAGCAGACGTTTCAAGGAATTGTTTTTCGATTGTCATGCCCCGCCAAAACTTGTAATCTGCAGTCGGATCCCTCTAGAATCATCATATATCGAACGTTCATGTATGTTTTCAAAGGTGTTCGCCTCGGTTCCTCCGGAAGACGCGCGAGACCCTGCAGCGGGAGCACCAGGACAAGCTGACGAAACAAGAGGAGGAAGAGAAGAAGAGGTTGGAGGAGGAGATGCTGAAAGAGAAGAAAGAGGAGCCGATATACGACGAAAGTCCCGCGCTGGTCGTGCGGCCTGGCAAGAAATCAAAGCTTCCAAAGGTTTCCGTGGGCATCGACGCCACACCCGCGACCAGAACCGAATCGATTCTGAACCAGGTGCCTATTGAGCTGGCGAAAGGCGTCGAGCCGTCAAACGAGTCGTACGAGTTTCAAACCGCTCCTCAGGTGGTCGTGATCGAGCACCATCACTCAAGGAGCGACCCGCTGCCGATGGAGAACGTGTTGAAGAGCGTGAAACCGAACTTCTCCACGCCAAGGATTTACGAGTCGGATTCCGGTAGCGCGAGCAGCCTGTACGCGAAGATTAATCCGAAACTTAAGTCTAGGCTGCCTCGTCTCGAGCTGGGCGTCAATCCCGAGGCATCTATCGCAGACGAGACCGAGGAGATTTACATAAAAACGGGATCGAAGTTGACCACGTTCGGCGTGAACACTCCACAGTGCGACATAAACGTAACCTGCAGAGAACCTGTCGCAGAGAGGGAATGCATCAGTCCGGAGGAGGCTCTAAGAACGATCAAACGCAGGAACTACCCGAAGGTCCTTCCAGACATCGAGAAAAGGCGATCGCTTCCGGCGCCTAACAGCCTTTTCATACCCAAGCAGCATGCCAATTCGTTGAGGGACTATAGGGGTGGGCTGCATTCGTCCCCGTCCTCTCACCAACCGCCCCAACCTCCTCCACGGATTTTCGGTCCGTCCAGGAGCCTGGATTTTGCGGAGGAGAACGAGACCCAGTGCGAGGCCGAACAAGTAACGACCAATCTGCACATTGGTCCACTGCTAAGAAGGCAGGATTGCTCGGGGAAAAACAATTCTGACCCCAGTATCATCGACTCTCTCGACGAGAGGATAGACAGGTCCTCCAGGACACAGACCGGAGGCAGCGTGGACACAATCTACTCGAACCCCATGTGTCCAGTTCATGGGATGACACAGCCAATTTCTCACAGCACGGACAAGAACATTGGAAGCCCAACCGCCTTACTGGAAACGGGTATAGGGAATCCAAATTGGTATAGGTCCCCATCAGGGAATGAACCTTCCATAACGATGGCGTCCTCGGAGCCACGAATCATGAGTAAAGGACCCGTAAACCAAGTTCAATTCGGATCCAATTGGGAGACGAGAATTCCTGCCATGGAGCCCAGGATCGTAATCACCCCAAGGGTGGGTAATCTTCTGGGACAAGCCAATCAGAATTTGAGTCAGACTGTCGTGAACCTTGGAGATGTTTCTTCGATCGATCGAATCGATAGAGAACTGGGAACGGCTGTTCGATCAGACTCAACACCTGCGATCGGTGCTAACATCGTGAACAGATGTCACGTTGGTTCAGCGGAAAAGCTTCAGCCCGATCCAGCGATCACGTGTTCCTCCCCAGAGTCAAGGATACCAGCTTTAACCAACATGGACAGAAAGGAGCCAAGAATAATAATCACACCGAGGGATCCGAAAGGCTCTTCCTCGAATCTGAAGCAACCGAAGATCATCATCAAGCCCACTTCTAGCCTGCAGAGAACCAGGGACCACAGGAACATACCCAAAGTTTCAGCCATTCCGCCACCAGAGGCACAATGTTCGCAGAGCAACGAGAGGGACAGACTCGTGGAACAGAGGGAGAAACCTCCCCTGAAGGAGAAGCCGAAGGTTACAAGAATTCCATCGTTTTCCAGGCGCGTGGACGATACCTCGAGCGGAATCGAGAGGCCTTCCGTTCCCGTATACGCCGAGAAGACGGAAATAGTGCAGAGGGTGGAGGCAGTGCCCGGCAAACTTGTGAGCGTGTCCGTGACTGGTGACGGGAAGTCGAGCATTCCGACGTTGCAAAGGAAGGACGCCGAGAAGTCGTCGAGCGTCGACCCGAGCAACGGGAATACGAATACCGGGACGATCAAGAAGAAACCGGTGAGCAGGAAGTAGACGCGTGAATTCGTGAAAAATGAATGAAGAGGAGGAGCGAAGATGTTTTTTTCCCTTCTTCGAGTCCGATTGCGCCGAAGAAGCTCGTGTGAGAGTGTAGCGCGGCGCCATCGAGGGAGAAAAATGAGTTTAGTAGGATTCCGAGACGTCATTTAGGCTCCACGAGGCTGGAAATTGACCGAGGAAGACTGCGCTGATATTACGGAACGTCTGAATCCCCTGAATTATGATGAAGTTAAGCAATATAAATTGGACGGAGTCGGATATAATGAAATATCAGCTTTATATTTAATTAATTTTCACAGATAACGCGGTAGAGTACGTGAATATCAAGTCGAACGGCAGGCTAGGTCGCTATTTAACGTCGATTCATCACAGGTTTGTTATTACAAAGTGTAATCAATTATCCGGGAGACCATAGTGGAAAAGTAATGTGTGCTTTTCGAGCATGTAAATATTATTTTTCTCTGTTTCGCTCGAGTCTGTTGTTTCCATATTCGATTGATATATTGATTCGAGTCTCTAATGTAACAGGCAACGTAATTGATCACGGGACACTTGTAGAATAAGTTTGTAGGATATTTTATCAAGGAAAGTATTGCATTTGTATAAAATGATTATAAATAATATCGTTGCATTTTTAAGGAGGTGTAGATAATAGTGTGTGTATATGATCGTCGTGTAAATAATATTGTCTGTCAGATGAAGCCGAGGAAAGGACTTTGAGCGCACTGTACAGGTAGCATCGAAGTCTCCTCTGTCTCCGCGAGCACGGAAATTTTTAAGGACCATCTTTTTATACTACCAGAAGAAAGAAAAGAGTTTGAAGTATTTTCGTATCTTACGTACCTTAATTTAAGGAACCTTATTAATGTAAGATAACAATCTCCACTTACAAATGGTCGAGCTTTTCACTACAACCCATCAAGACTATACTCGAGCATGCAACAAGTGTAGCAATACCTAGTCTTTTTAATGCATTTCTTATGCTTCCATCGTGTCATTATTTATGCGAATGAAATATGAATACAAGGTTCTTCTTATTTTAGACAGTATCGTCATTTAATGCTAATCCCATCGACTCGAGTGTATATTTATTCATCGTAGCCTATCGTTTTGTACGAACGTACGTATGTCAGCTTCGATAAAAAATTTTTCGTCCACCTTTCGCAACGGAAAATCGATGGCTGAGTGCGTTCCCGTGCGAAGTGTCGCGGCGAGTCTCCGGTTATCATTTTTCAGTACGTGGCTGGCATACCATTTATCTTGGAACTTTAGCTTTATCCGCGGGGAACTTTATTATTGAGTAAAACAAAGTCTATAAGTTATCGCGGAGAGCCCGGTATGTACGCGCGAAGGATTGTCTAGGGGGTGGTCGGACGCGAAAACGGACGGTCAACTTCGCCAACCTTATTCTCGCGCCGTTCGCTCGCGAATCGAATTGATTCCGGGAAGTTCCAGTCGAGTAATACGATTTCCCAGCCGACCGATAAAGAAAGCTTGTTTCTTCCCTGTCCCGGATTTACCCTGATTACCACTCGAAGCGATTTTTATCTGAACAAAGAAGTTGGATAATTGGCAAAGGATTAAATATTTCTTCAGGAGATAATATCAAGTGATGCTGTAAATTAAATTGAAGTGGTCAAACAATCTTATACGCTCCAGTTATACTTGAACGCTTAACAATCAATTATCGGTAACCGTTCATAATGAATAGTTCCTCCGGTGGTGGTATACGAAACAATCATTCTTTATCAAAAGCAAATCGATCGACGGACGAGCACGGAGGTTGTATTGAAATATCGCTTACATTGTCTCGTAAAACGTGTATCGCCGTTGAAACAATAGGGTGCGAGTGAATCGGCGACGTTTACGGGCGTCCTTTATCTCGCGAAATGTGCAAACACCAGCCCTTCGTCATGTTCGTGTGGAGGATATATGGGAGGCGGTGGTAAATATCGCGGATACTTTTCCGTCGATCGATTGTACGCGTTGAAAAAAAAATAGAAAGAAGAAAAGAAAAACGATCGAAACTTTACAACCCATTTGTTACTTTGACCTCCGGTGAACTCGGCCGACATCCAATTTTCGCGCACTCGACGGAAAAATAGGCTTCAATAAGGGGAGAGAAACGCACGGTATACAAGCTTTCGATTATGCGGCAGTATACCCGACAAACCTCATGGAGCTCTAAAAGAAAATCCACGGTTCGTGTTATTTATCATATATACACGCAACCCACGTTCCCCGTATAATCTTGTTCCATCCGTGCGTATTTTGTATAGCGTAATATCCGGAGATGTAAGATGGGGGAGGGTTCCCGTATTTCTTCACCCCCTTTTGTGGCCCGTGAAACTGGCGGGTTATCGACACCTGTGAAAATTGTTCGACAGATCTCGTGATTCATCGTGATTCATTGTTTACACGTCACTTCGCGTTGGAGGAAGCGGAGCACGGTACGTGGATGAAAGTTTGAGCCCGCGACAGAATACGAAATTGAACTCCACCCCCGTCGTTGTGCCAGACGGACCCTCGATTTGCCAGCTGGCGTAATGGCGCGGATTTGATAAATTTCGTGGACGTTTAATGGAACGAGACACGTGCTACTTGGGTGGTAAGTTTCTGTATCGTCATGCAAAGGCGTAGGAAGTATCGCACCGATCCTGTCCGTTCGGAATACATATTTTACTTAATTACTTGCTCCCTACCAAAAGTATAAAGATAGAAATTTCAAGCACACCGCGCAGCACCACGATCGCTTGGAAATTAATTTACATTACAACTCGCCAGTTCATGAAGCGTCGAAAAGGGAACAGTATCGATGGTGGAAATTCTGCATCTGCTACCATGACTGGGAGTGCACACGCGCGCGCACGTATACACACAGCCAAGTCGCGTTCGCGCGAGTCTACAACGGGAAAATATATCCAGAGGCGGCGTCGAGACAATTTGCATTGCTAAACGCCGTTTTACATTCGATTCGCTGCTGCCGCCGGCTTCTTCGACTCGAATGTTTGCACACGTAGGCATGAGACCCGAGAGTTGCGTGAAGTTTCAAGGGAGGATGGTTGTACACCGTGAAAGTTACAGCGATCGTTTTCATTAAATTATTTATCTAGTATACTAACGAAACTGGAATATCGGCGTACCAAGACAAAGAAACGAAAGGAACAACCGGGCCCAGAAGAAAGATCGCAATGAACCTTTGACAATTCTTTATCATTCGTAACGGGAAAATGTTCCGTGACACGAATCGTCGATTTTGCGAAACGGAAAATTTATCAGGAAACTTTTCTACGCGACGAACAACCCGATAATGAGAGATACATTCGTTGTTCCGTATCCGTGCCAACAAACACTCGAACAAACCGGATAAAGGATGGACGTTTGACAACGAAATTCGGTGGGGACCAGCCGGCAGGGACGACGGGATAACCGACAGAGAATCTGGAAACAGAGAAACAGGAAACGGCGGGAACTGAACCGAACGATTACCAAGCATTAGTTACGGAGAGAGAGAGAGAGCGTAACGCAGTTTCTCGGTACAGCAGTTTGGAAAGCCGTAATTGCAAGACAACTCCTCGTTCTCCGGTTGACGGGGAAGGATTAGCGGGAACGAGTGCTTACGCGACATCGTGAAACCGTCGTCCAGTACGCGTTCAGTCAGCTTGACAAACACGGGAACCGTTGCCAAATATTGCACGACTACAGCACCGTTCAAAAGTCTTAGACCGTCTATCAAAAGTACAGGTTTTTAACTCTTCGAAGCACAGATGGTATGAAAAGTTTCCCACCTTTTTTTTTACTACTCAACTCGCAGGGTGGGATGTTATCCATACCATCTTTAAATCGTAGAATTACTAAAAATAAAACATAATTGAAATATAATAATATTTTGACACATTTTATATAAAATGATGACTGTACAACTAGGCATTTTTTTTAATGAAAAATCCTGTGCTTTAGAGTAGAATGGATCATCCGCTCTAACAGTAGACCCTGGTATTCGAAGTCAATATTTATACGTTTTCATATACATATAAACATGCATTGCTGAAAACTGAATCCAGGTCATGGGAGTTTGAAAAATCAAGAACGCAGGGATCCGCGAGTCGAATTAAAACGACGCAAAACCAGATTTATAGTTCTTTTCCTGCCGCGCCGCGAGACAGAAGTCGAAGTCGAACTCGCGAATACAACCAGCTAGACGTACCAACATTTGTTTTCTTATGAATAATTCGCGGAACCAGAACACGGGAATAATTCATGACGTGTGTGCTTCTCACGTCAGCCTAAAAACGACTGGGATTTATTGGAGGATTCGGAAAGTTGGCGGTCCGCGCGACAAACTGTTTCCGTGGATATTCTGTCCGCGGGACGATCCCCTTTAAACGTTAATATCCTCACCACGGTGGTCTGAAACGTGACACGGCGATCCTGCGGCGAATTAAAATTCGAGAGAGATAGAAAGATGTCCGCTCGTTTAGGGGAACGGCGTGAGGTGGCTGATGGCTTAATGGGTATGCATTAAAACGAAACTGGCCGCACACGTCCACGGAATTGCGGCTGATATTTCAGATCCGGACGTGAATTGCGGTGGAAAAGAGGGTAGACGACTGAACAGGAACCCTCGACGAGCCCAGCGAACGGTCAAGTCCCCCAAAAAGGATCACAATAATATTACACCGTCGTCCACCTACATATTAAAAGCGATCTCCCGCCAGAAAAACGAGGGAAAACGGGACGAGCCCTCCCTATCGATGATGTCCACTCGACCTACAAATCGGAGGCTCATCCTACTCAGCTTTCTCCAATGTCCATTCACCAGAGCCTGGACATAACCCCCTGAAATGTACACTTTCTCCCGGTACGAGGCTTCGGGTTTTACCCTCGAAAAGCTCTGAATTCTTATTCCGCCGATCCAAACTTCACGCTATCGATTTTACATTTCGTGAATATACTCGGAGCATACAGAGTGTCGCGGGAGTGTTTAGTGTCAG